CTGCCCCACCCCCAAGGATGCCCCCTACCTGCCACTTGCCCCCCACTAATGCCTGTCCCCCTCCACCACCCCACTGCCACTTATCCTATTGCAGCTCTTGCTCTGGCTCCACTCTGACCCAGGCCAGAGCACAGAGCAGCATGCAGGCGGCAGTGGCCATGGTGGGCAGGAGGCATGGAAAGACAGCAGCTATAGCTCCCACCCCAGGTCAGGACTGGAGTGAGACCAGAAACCCAACCCCCACCCCTACACGCACACTTGTACTCATATCCACAAAATGAGGGGCTCTCTGCCCCATGTTGAATATGGGGGGAAAAATCCCTTTGTCTTGAATTTGAGCAATATGGTATGTTAATACCGAGTACCATCTGGTTGAAAATGTATTTAGAATTCTGAGCATCTAAAATGTTAGTACCACACTTGCATACTTCATGCATAGTTTCCCCAAAACTCAGCCCACCTCCCTGATTTTTCAGAAAAACCAAGCTGATTTTTCTGTCTAGAACAGAATCACCCTGCTTTGATTCCTACTCCAATGTGCAGCAGCAGCAACACTATTCAAGCAGCTGAGGAAGTCAGTTGACTTACTGGCTCATTGTTCTTCATTCCACAGGTATTAATATTTAATCTATCCTTTTAATGGCCTCGGTTACACTAATCAAGCGAACATTTCTTCAGGCAACTTTGCTGTCTACTAGCAACTCCTGGTTTCTTCTCCTATCCCATAGCCCTGGAGACTCCTACTCCATATTTCTGACAACGATCAGTACAAGATGCTGTCATAGGAAAGTGCAAGGAAAGTTGTGGGTAACTATGGAATAACCGGCTCAGAGAAAATTATTTTCTAGTCCCCGATGCTTAGTCAGCTTATGTCCTAAAACATATAGGTTTGTATACCTTATAAATGCTTTATTCTACCTAAAGCAACTGTAGCGTTAAGTACAGATAGTCAAAAAGGCCAAGGTTAAAAAGCACCCCAGGGGAAAACCAGGAACAACGGTAATAAACTCCTAGAAGGAGGTTTCAGACTGGATACAAGGAAAAACTTTACGGTTTGTGGAACAGACTCCCAGTGGGCATGGTGCATGCACCTACCTGGAGATCTTCAAAAGGTGACAGGATGCACATGTTGCTAGGGTTATTTGACCCCAGCAGTCTTTGCTGCCTAGAGCAGGGGGGCTGGACCCAATGCTCTCATGAGGTCTCTTCCAGCCCTAAACTTCTGTGAATCTGTGAATTCAATCTTTGCAGGTTAGTCTAAACTGCAAAGATTGAACTGAGAAACAACCGGACATACATTTACTTTTGATTCAGGAAATGCAGTCACATGCCTGCAATGGCTCAGGCCAGAAGCTTGGGGGGGGGGGTGCTAGAGCATGCACCTTTGGCACACAGCCAGCATGGGATATGTGTTCCCCTCTTCATGCTGCCCCTGAGATCTCTAGGATTTGCAGTCCAGAATCACATCAGCAGGATTCTTCAGGGCTGCTCACAGAGCCAGACACAGGCATGGACAACCTGGGTGGCCACTTGGCGCCCAGACAAGAAGGTGGCCCAAAAATGGTAATTTTTCCCATTGTCTGATTTTTATTACCATTATCTCTGGTGAAGGGAGGCCCGATACTAAAAGTTCACGTGGAACTGCCAGGAGTCTGGTACGGTACTGGTTGCTCATCACTTCCTCTTCCTGCTTCCAGGTGTCTCTGGGATTTGTAGTCCACAATCACAGCCAGCAGTAAGTTTTTGTAAGTTTAGCAGGGAATGGCAGCTCTGTACTCAGAGGAAGGTGGGTTTAACCCCCCTCCCTGGCCCCACACCCCAGCCAGACCCAGCCAGCTGGAGCAGACAGCACAGTCCAGTCCAGAGGTGGAAAGCATGCCAGGATGCTGGGGGACTGTGATTTAACTTAAAGCAGGAAGGGGTCTGGGACAGAAGTTTCATAAACCAGTCCAACCTAAATCACTTAACTCTGATACTACATTCAGCCAGGTTTATCTTACACCACTTTCAGCCATTTTGAAACTGGTTTATGTGCACTGAGCTTCTGTTCTGTTACAGGTTTAAACTAGTTTCTGATTACTTAAACCAGTTTATGTGTAATTTTTGTCCCTAGCCACAATGTCTCATTATTCATACAAAAGTTTTGATTTTTTTTTTTCCAATTAAGTTTAAGTCCTATTTTCTTGTGACACCTAGTTTCAAATATTTCAGGCTCTTTAAAAATGTATTTGTGTGAGCGTGAAACATTCAGCCTTTCCATTTCATAACATCCCCTGTTTTCCTGCATGATTAAAAGAAAAAATAGTATCTACATCATATTTCCCCTTTCCAAATTAACTGATCCCAAGCTTTTTAGTCTGTCCATGTCTCTAAATAATATTATTTACCCATGAATCCCTTCTACTCCAACTGTTTTTTTAAAGATATACATAGTAATGAGCTGTAGACATAAAAATACATGCAATGCCATTACTATTTTGTCAACATTTTGTATTCAGTTCTTCATACATTCTAAGATTTTCTGTGTTCTGACCCCCACCAAACACTAAGTGGAAAGTTTCTGAAATGCCCACGGTGACTTAGACCTTTTTGCTTGAGTAATTACAGCTGACTTAAAAACAAACTATTTATATAACTAGTTCAGATGATTCGTCTGAAAATGCATTAGGTCATATTTCTATATTAGAGGCTGCCCTGCCCAATCATCTTCTAATTTATTTGGTCCATCTGAAATTGCTGGTAGTCTCCCTTAATCTTAACTAACCTAGGCAGCTTCACATTTTGTCACCTTACCACTCCTTTTTGAGATATTAATGAGGCTAAACCTAGTACAGAAAATAAAGTAATACTGCTGTGAACCTTTTGCCACAGTGAAACTTAACTTTCTTCCACTCCCACACATCTCTCAGCTAGAGAAGTTTCTGGTAAAAATAAGATACTCCAACTTTGTTTTCTGCATATGTAACCTGCATGTCTCCATTTTCCAAGAATACCAACTAAAAACAGATCTGTGAGCTGCACATTTAATATGCCCCATGTATATATCCCTAACTTTCCTTGGAAGGTCAACTGTAAAGAATTCAACATCTGCTTGAAAACAAATGATATTCATTATGCAACTGAGTGTTTCAAAGATAAAATCCACAAAGCATCCAGGGCTGAAAAAAAAAAAAGAGTTGGAGGGTTTTGGATATATATAGACATTTGTCCGGATTATATATAATTTTATTTGTACAAGGGGAAAGAGTGCAGGAGATAGCAGTAAGCTCATATTCTTATTCATGCCAGACCAAATTTGAAATCTGGTATGCACAGGCTCTTCTGTTATTCCTCTATTAATGTAAAAGTTGTTGGAGGTTACATACTAAGCAAGAGTTTCCCTGTAAGTTAGCTGAGGAAAAGATTTTCTACTATACATATTACTAAAGAGTATACCTCCTCAACTTGCAGTTGTAGGGAGGCAGTTAGAAAGGCCAAAGC